CAATCGACACAAACGTTATGTGGCAGTTACTTTCAAACGCGGATTTGCTCTATTTTGGTCGCGCTACCATAGACATCAATGTTTATATCTGAATTATAAACTTTCATCCCAGTATTTCTGTGATGATATGAATGACTGTACGACAGAAATAATACTGTGTAGTTGATAAGACTGTTTGTGAAGCTGTTTCTTAACCAAACATAGTTTTTGCTCTGTGTGTCAGCGGGAGTGCGAACACAGATTTGAATGATCCGGTAAGACTTTGTCAAAGGTTTAATAGACACGGGAGAATCGTTGTCATTTAGAAATGAGATCGTGTGGTTGTCTGAATTGATATCGCGATCTTTTAACGATTAATCGTGCAGCTCTACAATCACATAAACGTAAAGAAGAAGCTGTACTTTTTTTTGGTATGTTGATACTTGATGTTAAAATATCATTGCTTCAGAATTCCTGTCATTTTGCAATTCTATTCAGTGACGCACTTCTCCTTTAATATTATTACCTGACATTCAGTACTGATATTTGCAGCTAGTGCAAATCTAGCCATCTTACTATATATAATACTGGGAAAACTCATATTCACAAGCCATAACTGTGTACCTGGATGCCAAGGAAGGAATGGGCTTAAACAAACACATACAGGTGATCACCCCAAAATAAGGGATACATTCACCAGGGTAACGCTAGTAAAGGCAGTCCCACCAGTCTGAGTTTCACTATCACAGCCAGCAACACTAAACACCGTCTACGAGAAGTGGGAATTTTTAGGCGTGCAGTTTTGCTGAATTAATAACCACAAAAAGATTCAACAAATTTCACTAATTGAAATGCTAAAACTGAAATGTTCCTGATTGCCCACATCATGCAAACAATAATTTGTGCCATGCACAGAAAGTTCCTCCTCAGCAGCAGCCGTCAACACAGCACACACACTGACGTTTCACTTACAAGAAGAGTGTAACGACTATTGCTGCTGCGTCTCCAAATGAAGGGATGGATGTCAGTTCATTGTGGTCAAGCCTCCTGTCAATCAAAAAACAGAACAAAATCCAGGTTACACATAGCTTAGACGGTGACCTAATTATAATATAGATCTCATATTAGAAATAATAAATGTATTTGATGTATTTTACAAGAAATATATTAATAAAATAAATATGATATATTAAAAATGATATATTAAAAATTATATATGTTTAATGTTTTATCATAAATATATATATATATACAGTGGCTCTTTCCCAAAAAGACTCATGGCTGTATTAGATCAAAAGGGTGCTTCTACTAAATACTGAGCAAAGGGTCTGAATACTTAGGACCATGTGATATTTCAGTTTTTCTTTTTTAATAAATCTGCAAAAATGTCAACAATTCTGTGTTTTTCTGTCAATATGGGGTGCTGTGTGTACATTAATGAGGAAAAAAAATAACTTAAATGATTTTAGCAAATGGCTGCAATATAACAAAGAGTGAAAAATTTAAGGGGGTCTGAATACTTCCCGTACCCACTGTATATATATATATATATTTTTTTTTATATATTTTGTTTACTACCAAAACATCGCGAGAGAGAGAGATAGAGAGAGAGAGAGAGAGAGAGAGAGGGAAAGTAGGCCTGTCTGGCTGAGGGCCAGACACAGTCCCTCGATGTATTAAATATTTACAGCGCAGGTTAGTGGCTGGTGTTAGGTGATGATGGAAGGCACTTATAATAGCAAACCTCTTTATTCCCAATCTCTGCCACTTTCAGGACAATAGCCACCAGCAAAAGTACTTAAATATCCAATAGCACTGACAGCATTCTTTAAAATGATTTATGACCGTTTGTGGCTAATGGCTGTAATTAACGTTATTACACCATTTAATGTACTTCATTCAATTGCCTCTCTCTATGGGGCTTTAGTTGTGGGAATGTTTTCTAGCCGAATTTAGTAGTGGTTTTACACTAAACATCAGCCAGCGCTTCTACTTAGAAACAGGATTTTATACTAGTCTCAGATCTGTCTTATAAAATATATAACTAAAGATTTGAAATGAATGAAGCCGAATCAAGATCAATTTAAAAAGACATTGTTGACCTGAAAACAAACGTTGGCCTTAAAGTTTGTGAAGGCCAACAACACCCTAAAACATTCTGTTAAAGCCCTGGAAAAGTTGCTAGCATGCTAATTGATTTCATTAAGCAGGGACAGATTTACAGCTGACACTGGGCAGATCTACCGGAGGTTTGGACTGGGGACATGGGGCTGTTCTACTCACACTTCTTTCAGGTTAGGCAGATTGGAGAGGATGTCCATATCGACTGCCGCAAGCTTGTTGTGGCTCAGATTTCTGAGTGAACAGAGAGAAGGAGGGGGAGGAGAGAGAGAAATTTATTAAAACACTTTTTAGTCAGGCACTCATAACAGTCGACAAACTCTACTCCTTCAGTAAAAAGCGGTAATGTGAAAACGATTGCATTTCTCTCACAAACAGACCCATTCAAGCACCCTAAATCTCTCGCCTCACTATATCTACAGTGCCAGCAGCAGCTTTCAACAACACACTCAGTCTATCAGTCCGGTTCATCACTGAAACATGTCGTATCGACACTTATGGCCCATAAATCAGGAACATCAACAGCCTCCCTTTAGCGGGACGTCATCTTCATTTCAGCGCGGTTCAGGCGAGCAGTCGTCCAAGGGCTTCAGACTGGGCTTGGCAGAGCGTTGGCCTCCTGCTCTCCCTGCTGAAATGTCAAAGATTGATGGCACTGTGATCTATAAAGGTCCTGTCAGCTCTGTGGTTTCTTCCTTCGCTCCTCAGCTACTGCATGATCAGATTTTCCTTTTGGATGGGATGCACTGTTTTGCATCGTTTATAGTTAGAGAAATTGGTTTATTATTTTTAGACAAAGCAAGAATGAGATCAGGAAATGATGCAGGTAGGTTGGATTCAAACCCGTATTTCCCAAAAATAACCACCAAGACTCAATCTATCTGGAGCACATAAACTAACCACTAGGCCAAACTCTGACTTCAACCTTCTTACCCATTAACATGTACACTACAGCTACAATGTTTGGGGTTGGTAAGATTTTTTTCATGTTTTTGAGTCTTTTTTGAGGTCTCACCGAGCCTATATATAGTTATTCAAAAATAGAATAAAAATGGTAATAATGTGAAATATTACAAATTCAAATAACTGTTTTCTATTGTAATATATCTTAAAACTTAATTTATTCCTGTGATGCAAAGCTGAATTTTCAGCAGTCATTCCAGTCTATGGTGTCACATGATACTTCAGAAATCATTATAATATATCAATTTGGTACTCAAGAAACATTTCTTATTATTATCAATCATAAGATGAACAGTTAAACTGCATAATAGTAGGGTCTTACTGACCCTACTGTGTATTAAGGGGTAAACATTCCTCAATATATATTTTTTAAAAGAATATCCCTGGTCAGATACTTCACCATTTTTTAAAGGAATATCCCAGGTTAAATTCACATTAAACAGCTAGGAGTTATGAAGTCTCAGGGGCAACTACTACAGTGTAATAGGAAGTGTCTGCCTGTAAAATCCGTTTAGAAAGCGGTTCGTTCCTGCAAACACAAAGTATTGACTTTCGGATTATCTTCAACTCCCTGACTAACAGATTCAATGGCACACCCATCAAGTTCCACTTAGCAGTGTTAAACGTTTTAATCGGCAGCTCATCTGTGCTTGTAAAGAAACAACTGGATGACTGTCCTTCCGTCTGCTGAGCCGATTTTGACAGGTTTGTGGAGCTACAGCTGGTTGTAAAGAAGAGGAATTACCTAACACACTATATAATGTGTCTGTTTCTCACTCTGAGCTGTCAACTACAGACTGTGAAGCCGTACGTATGCAAACTTGAGAAAGAACAGACATGGACTATATTTAGGATGGCTGTATACCTTCTCAAACTAGGATTGTGCACTGAAAAAAGAAAAAAAAAGTTTACTAATCACACTCTTAAGCCCAAAGTATTCTTTGGTTTTTAAGTGTATGCGAGGGTCCGCGTACAGTACGTGTGATGCTAATTTCGTCACCAGATTAGTATACGTGTACTGTGCACCACCCCGTTTTTGTAAACGCGCGTACTTTGTACGCCCAGGTCGCACATGCACACTGAATTTGTTTTGCACTAATCGGTTGTTCCACAAGGTGGCAGCACTGGTCCGGGCCGTTGCTTCACAATAGAAAGCGAAAAAAGACGGAACAACAACAACAAAATACCAGAGACTGCAGCAACAACAGCGCTCGCATGAGAGAGTTATGAGAGAGATGCAACTTTAGTTTAAAAGAGTACAAAGATATTTTTATTGGCCAAAACTTCTGGAGAAAAATAGCGCAGACACTGGACTAAGATTAAGCTTTCTAGAGCACACGTGTCGTCTGCCTGCGTTTACGCACACTTGGGAGTATACTATGCGCTCAACTGTACGCATGCGCTAGCATACACGTACGAGAACGAAGTATACTTTGGGCTTTAGTAGCTCAATTTGTCCCTATTCAAGCGGCAAAGTTACATAAACTAGCAAAGAAATTTACTCTAGTATTTTATTTGGTCTGAAAGGTGTCACAATGCTTCTGTAGCTCGGCCCATGTGTGTGTGTTTGTGCAGAGATAATAACACAGGGTGAGCTGCCCTCAAGGCAATCGTCTGACGGGTGAACACAGCAAAATTGCAGTCCTGTACCACGAGGCAATTACCTAATTATACCAAAGCAAAGTGAAAAATTGCAGGCTTTCTTAAAAACGCCTCGCCAGGGGGCATGAATACTGCAGAGAAAATCATGTACGTCATGTAGAATGCTAGTCGCTAATCTGCTTTAGCCGTTTCCAACCTGCAAAATCCTGTGAGAGTAATGAAACCAACCATTTCTTCTTTCACACACCGATTACTGACTTAATACTCATGTTAGTTTCCACTTTCCACTACAGAATTTTAAGGGCTGAAAAGTAGACCAAATACCAGGTTAAGCCATTTCACAATTATCTGGACTAAGATATATTGTGCTTGTCAACGGCTCTGAAACGGCGCTAATAAAGAGGCAGAAAGCATTAGAGTCATTTAAATGCTTTACTGTTATACAGCCAATCAGACAAAATGCTCAGACTAGATCATGTCAGTCTTCATGGAGACTTCATGATGTTTGGAGAGCTGACCTATGCCTCACCAGCCAAAAAGGAAATGAGAGTGTTTATATAATCACAGTGTTTAATTCTCAGTCACTTCACTTTGTTTAAGCCTCTTTTATCTTATCAGCTAACACTAACTTTAACACCTTCAGGCTGACCTTTGGGGAATAAATCACATGGCTGTTGCAACAGTACAGCAGGCTCAACTAATGCTCTAGTTCTCCAGTGAGGAAGTCTTTAAGAGTTTTGTGGCTTCGAGAGTCCACAATTGGGAGTTTTGTGGCTCTTAATACATGTCTGGCGATTTTGAAGCAATCTATACAAAAGTTTGGGGTCAGTAAGATTTTTTTTTTTTTCATGTTTTTGGAAGAAATCTCTTATGCTCACCAAGGCTGCATTTATTTGACAAAAATCAAAACATCAAGTGTCATGGGGTCTTTAATGATTTCTCTTACTAGGTTTGAATATTTCAACTTATTGCAAAGAACAATTGTTTTTATAATGATTGAAACAAAGCTTAAATTCATATAGAAATAATAGTTTAATACAATATTGAAAATTATCATCAAAGTCTGACAAAGAAAATTAAAAACATCAATGATGATTAAGCTATAAGTATTTAGCTATAAATTTATATTATATAGAAATCTCTTTATATTTTATATATTATTGTATATCACATCAGAAAAGGCTAGAAATATTTCCAGAAATCTGAATTAATGAAAAAGTGGCATATGTAAATCAACTAATTAAACAGGACTGTATGTGTAAATATACATTTGCAAACTCAGATGATATGATCAAGTTTTGTCGTCTTAAACTATTTGCTTTATGTCTATTATGATTCAAACAATTCCCAAACCCACTGGTCTTTACTCTGAACTAAACAAATGCCTCTCCTCTTCCTCAGAGAGTCCTGCAGGCCGACTGGACCCTTAGGGTGCTTTCACACTTGCTTCGATTGCCTGGTTCGACATCAAGCTCAATATTTAATTATATATATATATATTTTTTTTTTTTAACACACGTTTTCAACTATAAGAAAACCTTGAGATATAATGTAACAATATTGTTAACATTGTTGTGTACAATGCCTAATCATAAGCCATAAGAAATGGTGACAAAAACTTGATTATTAAAAAATGACGTCTTTCTCGTTAAATGTAATTTAAATAAACAAATATTTGAATATTCGTTTTTTATTAGCCTGAATATTCAAATACAATATTTTTGAAAAATGCCCATGCCTAGTTCGCATCAAAATTGCTAGTGCCCCCTTAAAGGTAACCAGAAACACTCTTCTGGATCGCTAAGAAACTAGTCAGCACAGCTTAAATTCCCTTTAAGGAAAAATGATTGCAAAATGCTTTTCCAGCTATCCTCTGTAAATAAATAATGCAATATTCAAGAATTATCCAATCATCCTCTATCTGCTCTCAGATCAGCTCAGATACCTGTACCCACTTCAGTTTCAGTGAGAACAGAGAGCTTACACACTTCTGTGCTATTCAACCATTTTATAGCCATGCAGACAATAATAACTTCCAACCTAATCATGCTAGTACAGGCTAGTAAATTCAACTTCAACTCTAACAGCCAATTATGTCTATTTTTTCTTGTTTCCATTAAACCTGAAGGTGAACGGCCAACAGCTTCCTATGCCAGGAAACCAGGGTAAGAGAACATCCACACCTAACAAAGGTCAAAGTCATTTAGGAAATGACCAGAGGGAGAAAAAAACTGAGTACAAACAAATTGCCAATAACATACTAAATAGTGTGGCTTTTTGATTTTAGGCCAGAATGATAAAACTTTCTGAAATATTACATTTCATTTTGGTCGCATTGCTTTGAGTGTAAACAACATGGATCTGTTGATATGTCGACACCAAACTCTGACATGCTGGTTCAATAAGGTATTGAAAATAACATCAACGCTATAGTTATCGCCTGTTATATTAAGAATAAAAATAACTCCATTATATCAGTTTCTCCCTCAAGGGCCATATCGTGAATACAACGGCAAAGAGACAACCTTTATCTATCTATCTTTATCACTGATAAGCGGAGAGTGTGAACTTTGGTCTTTGGAAGTGTGAAATGATGTCAATGATGGGGCTTTTTGATGCAGCTGGAAGACAGAAGCGTCTTTAATGCACCCTGTTTCAGAGGGCTATAA